ATTTTGTGTTTTTGCAGGGCTGAAAACTGAGCATCAATAATTCTGCAAGACACTGAAGTAAGGAATAAAAATAAATATCCTTACCACAGTAGGTATAGATGATTCTGGACTCGACAAATCGGACTTTGAGGTTGTGCAGGACCGCAGGTTCATGCAGGTAGCTGAGAGCCGTGAGGTCGTTCTCCCCTACCAAGATGTCTGGGTTTCTGAGAGGGGGCAGTTTGGGCTTGGAGGGGTCAACCGGGTGGAGGTGAACCTACAGAACGATAAGTCAAAGGTCAGCTGCTCATTTTCACATCTAGGGATTCATCGGAGTTGCATGTAGACAGTTTATTTGCTCACAGTTCCGTCTTCGAGGAGTAATTCAAGAACATTATCGCCCGAGTGGAAGTCTTTAGTGATTTCAGCCGATTTCCACACTTGTTCTTCATCTGGTATCCACACTCTGTTATACTGGAAGAAATGGGTTAAAGAGTGAAAAATAATTAAGATTTTTACATAAAGTAAGCATAAACGTCACTCTAATTGTACATACATGTTTATATTTTCTAAAATAAATAAATAAAATAAAATAAATAAAATAAAAATCCACGATGCGTTACACTCCCTCAACACTGGGAAAGTTTCCATATGTCTGTGAAAACGTCAAATACATCAAACATATGTTAATAGTATAAAAATAATAAAGAGCTGACTCTTACCTTTGTGTACAGTTCAGATAAAGCCATGTTTGAGCTTCACTTTGTGTTTTTTAGCACCTGCTGCTTCCCTGTACTTTCTCTCCAAGTTGCCATAAAGTCCCTGAGAGACTACGCTTGTTTCCAACAACCATAAAACAATCACCGAACAAGTTTCACAAAGTAGGATCGCGCTTCCGGGAAGGGGTTTCACAATAAGAGCCCCACTAAAGGTACTAAGATACTTTAAAATAAAAACATCACGACCAAATCCATCCATTCATAGATTGGGGGTGTGGATATGTCAGTCACAATTTTTTTTTCTTTATTTTTACTACGAAAAATACAACTGCAAAAACAAAGAGTATTTGAAGTATAACAGTGTGGAAGTACCCAAAGAAATTGGAGGTGACGCTTGTTATAAAAAGTTAATCACTGGTTGGATTTTTTTTTTTTTACTATTATCATTATGCATAAATATCATGTACAAAACAGCAGTATTTTGGCATGTTTGTTTAAATTTTCTCTGTAAAGTATGTTTACCACCAAAATAACTACTGTAATATCTTCTTGTATGTATTTGGATATATTACATCTGTCATTTTAATTTATTTTTAATATAAAAAAACAATGAAGTTACATTTACTCAATTACATTTTCTTGAGGGAAAAAGTATCTTTAGGAGTATTTTCACTACACCATAACTTTGATTTTACTTGTCTTATATTATTATCATCTCCTTAAAGTCACCAGTAATAATAAATTAAAATTTCTGGACATTCTACCTAGCAGTGTAAGTAAGTTTACCAACAGAAGAGCAAACCTGTTTGGGCCAAAAAGACACTCAAATAATATAAATGTATAAAATATACTTTAACTATTGAATTCATGTTTTATGCTTTGTATAAAATTTGTCATTTTATATTGTTATTCATTTGTATTATTTTTTCATTTTAGTGTTTGAAATTCCCAAATTTGAATGTAACTTAATATTTTTTGTCTCTTTGATGAGATTGTAAAATATTAAATACCTTGTTTAGTCCTTTCTTAACTCAAGTAATTTTTTGAGTAACTTTTTACTTTTGAGTTAAAATATTTTGAAGTAATTTTACTCTAATACAATTTACCCACCTCTAGTGATGCTTCCTTAAAGTCTAAATATCAAATTCTTCCTTTGCTTGATCAGTAATCAAGGAAGTTGACTACTGAATCCTGAGCTTTATTTTGAAACTTCCAGGAAAGTGTCGTCTTTTCCTGCCCGGCTTGTAATTCACCTGCTCGGGACTTTGGCTGTCTCCGCCCCCTCGGTCTCGTGACAGGCTTGTCCCACCGTCTGAGGGTGTGCTCGTTTTATCAAGGATCCTCGCCACTAAAGAAACCGGATGCAAACCTCTATGACCTCGGTACATTCACGAACACTTAGGACGTAGTTTTACACCTGAACGGGTTTAATCATAAATATAAAAGCTGTCAAAGTCTCAAAACAACCGTGGATAAGTTAGTTCACATGGAAACGGCAGAAGGAAGACGTTGGTTGGTTAATCATATATCAGCATGGAGATAATTAAACGTAACTTTAAAATTTATGCAAATTTTATACATTGTATGCAAAATGTGACGTATTTAGCATACGATGTCACTGTAAAAATATGATTTTTGGTTTATGTTTTTCAATGAGAAAATCTTAGTGTTTTGAAAATTGCAAGTAGTTTAAATAGTTGGGGAAAAATTGACAAATTTGTCTTTAAATTCAGATATACAACAGGATGCTATAGTAGGTTATAGTTGAGCATAAGAGAAAGAAATTTTAGCATTCAAATTAATGCTTTAAAACATTTCAGATAAAATAAAATTAATATTTCTCTCCAGCTTGGCCTGACATCTAAACCATTATAAAACTGCTGCTGAAGTCCAAAGGCTTTTAAATATTTTTTAGAAATAACATTTTATAATTTTGGCTATAATAATAAATTTTTTTAGCCATGAAACAGTTCAATACATTTCTTATTCCACAAATCAAACGTGAAGTTTACATTCGTTCATCATTCATTCTGGGCTTTTAATGGTGGATTATAATGTTTTCTTTTCCAGGGCGAATAATTATACAGCATTTAAATTCATTGACTTAAAAGCAAGAACTGTGTGTTTATTTAACTTTAATGTGGCGTTTGCCCAACCCACACAGAGTAAAATTATTTATATAAGCTCATATTCATACAAACATTCCCACATGTTAGGAGTCTTTCAGTCAGCTGAAGAGAAACTCTTTCTGTAGCCATCAACAACCTTCTTTTTTAAATTTGGCTGAACGTTTGGTCTCTCTTCCTGTCAGAATCGGTAGCGTTGACTTAATTTTTATTTTTTCCCTGGAACTATGCTTTTATGCAGAATCCAGAAACTTTCAAAAAGGTTGAGATTGGGGCTTTAGGATGGCATTTCCAAACAGACTTAATGAGCGTTTGGCATAATTATCCAGTTTGAACTACGAATTATGTTTAATAATTATTAAACAACTCAAGAACCAGAATGCCCCGATGAAGAAAGTTTCACTTTCCCATGAGCTGAGATGTTCTCAACCCCCCAAAAAGTAGGAAAAATGACACAAAAACAAAAATGTGTCTTTTCAGACACGACTAAGATTGCGTTATTTGGCAACAATGATAAGAAGTTTGTTTGGAGGAGCCACAGTGAGAACTTTAAACCTAACAATCAGGCATGGTGGTGACAGCATCATGCTGAGGGCCAGTAATGCTGACTGTGAACAACCAGATGGTGGAAAACTGACCATTGCATGTTCCAGCAGGACAACGATCAGTTTTGAACTAAGGTGGTAACTCTAAAACTTTCAAGACATTTAACTCCATTAGTTAGGCGTTATAATTAATTACAATAACACCTAACTAAGCCAGACTGTTTTTAGATAAATCCACAATGAATTCAAACTTGTGCACCAAAGTCTAATTTTTCAAAGTCACTACGATGTACACTGAAAAACACAACAGCTGATCCAACTTTTTTTTTTTAAAACCGAGTTAATTTGATGCTTAATCAAATAAAATTTATCCACGCAAATGTTACAGAAAAGTAAATAAATCAAGTTTGCCAAACTTAATTCAATTAAATGAATAGAATTAACTCAATTTTTTTTTTGTATGCTGTATTCTTATTCCACTCTGGAAAAAGGTTTAAAATTTGTTCACCCTTCACATCCATGATGACTGTAAGTTAGCCAACGGCCAGCGCTGTATTTTTACTAATGCCAACAGGTGAAATGTCACATTTCTTTGCTAAAATTCTTAATTTTCTTTATAAAGTTTCCCCTTTAAGGAACATTTTTGCATATTTCCTATTCAGTCGGTTTGTATTCTTGGGGGGAAAAAAGACAATATTCACACATCTATAAATAACATCTTTTTTTAAGATGCAAACTTTGATGGAAAACAGTCTTTGGTTTATTTTATTTACTTGTAAACAGGATTAGAAAAACAAGGTGCGATCAGAGGTCAGAGGTCAGCTCTAGACACGGATAAGGAAGCCCAGGTTGAGGCTTGCGGGGATCTGGATGGTCTCCAAAGCCACAGAGGAAGGCGTGAATGGGAATGTGACAGAGAATATTTTCTTGGCGTCCATCATCAAGTTGGACGACTCAGCTCTGTCTTTCAAAAGGTTCTAAAAAGGAAGAAGAGAAAAGAGTTAATGAATTATTACATGAAGACTTCATAATAAAAGACTAGAGATTAAAACAGTGGTGCCCAAACTTTTTGCCCCCCCTAAAATTGGCAAATTTAAACTACTCACAAACCAAAAAATTCATAAATATAAAATCTACAGGTACTTGAAGCTTTGAAAAGGCTTCACATTAAAAGAAAAACAAACAATTTACACATTTTTGGGGTCATCAGTTACGAGTTAGGGCTGATTAAAATCATTTCAAAGGTCACAAATGGCCCTCGGGCCACATTTTGGACACCCCCGTATTAAGACCTTACTTTAATGGTGGTGATGAATGTGTTTGAAACTCTTTCTTCAAACTCAATTACTGGAGTGTACAAGGTCAGGATTTTAACAATCTGTTAAAAAAAAAAAAAGATAAGAGTGAATTGAGTTGTATTTATTTGTGTAAATATTTAAAAAGCTGGGATGTTTTCTGATGCCGAACCTGTGCTGTGGTGAGGGAGGAGCACATGCTACAGATTGCTTTGGCATCAGCTTCAGTGTTTTTCTTGATTTGTAAAAGCTGTGCAGCCTGAATGAGAGGCTCCAGAGTTTCCTTTGCTCCACAGCCGCTCAGCTCCCTCTCTGACAGCCACTCATCCAGCTGCCAAACGTTGTACCTTCACCCAGAGAGGAGGACAAGACACACTTCAGATTAAAAGTGAAAAGCACTACAAGGAGTTCATGTAAAAGGAGTTTTCATAAACAAAAGCAACGCGAGGAGGAAAATTATTCAGAATTGCAGGTTTTCTACAAATTCAAAACAAAAAGGTGTAAAATTTATCCTCCTCACTCTGCTACTTCTAACTGAAAGTGGATATTAGATTTAAAATTTAGGTTTCCAAAGCGGCTCCACTCACTCGCTCTTTGGTTACCTAGCAACTCACTCACGCTTTGGTTACCTAGCAACAAGCTGGCGAGTAACTAGCGCAGCAGCAGTTTAAGGTTTCACCAAGGTGTCTCATAACTGACTAAAAAACAATTAATGATGTTAAATTATTGGACGTTATTATTGGAAATTTTATTTGTACTATTTTCTCCATGAGAATATCAATACATATCAATAAATAAATAAATAAATAAAAAAAGTAAATGTGTGTAGTTTAAAATCACGCTTTGTTTTTTAAAGTAATGCCGTCTTGAAAAAATACTGTGCACTCGCAGCCATAAAGGGACTTTATAAAGTATTAAATAGTTTTCTTTTTAAATCATAAACATTATTAAAATATTGCAGTCTAGTCTATATTGCCCACCATGCTTTGCTGGCTTTAGCATCTCAGGAAGTTAAAAGTCTATCCAACTGGTCAATATACATCATTAGCAGCAGAATTTGACAGAGCTCTAATTTTTATGGGTATTGTTAATCCAAATAATGCATAAATCTCTCTTCTGTTGCCTCCTTCACGGTTAGTTTTAGAAAATAAGAAAGTGTTGCTGTGATTACCTGATCTGTAGGCCTTTTCC